TGGAGCACATGGTGCCTCCATGGAGAAGGTAGAGCACATGGCACACTGATGGACACACTGGAGCACACCCATTCTCCTTGTTCAGCCAAGTCACATCAGAGGAAGATCAGGTGTCCATGAGGGCAGTGTGAAGTTGGAGGGTGCCTGCCCAGGGCTGGGGGTAGGATGTGTTCTCTGTTTCATCAAAGGTAGGTGAGACTGTTCCTCATTAGCCAAGTACCTGAGCACTTGACAGGGACATGTTCATCCTCACAAACACCTTTTGAGCTAGGGAGGCATGTCCCAGCCCTGTGTGTGGGAGCTGGGGCTAGGGAAGTTACAGCCTTTCTATGACCACATATCCTGGGCAGGGAGCAGGATCACTGAGGACACCATGGCAGAGGAAAGGCTGGAGTCAATCCTAACTCTACTTTCAAGCTTTAGTCTTTGTGTTATGTTCTTTACTAAAGAACACCAAAAATAAGAAAGGTGTTGTTAAAAGGTATTGTCTCTTACTTTATTCGCAGCCCTGCTTCATGCCATGCTCATGAGCTAAATACCCCAGGAGGGAATATCTGGACTACTGCCTGTTTATATTATTCCCTAACTGATATTTTTTTTTCATTGTTGGTGTTGGGTTTAAAATAATCTCATGTTTTCTTGTGAGAAATCTGAACTGTTTGTGAGAACTTATCTCAGAGCACATGGCTTGGGCTTAACTAACATTTTCCAAACAACTTAGGAGAAAGATAAACTGGGGGGTAGGATAGAAAAAAAAACCTGTTGGATGATTTGAGAAACCCTGGCTGAAGCTTTGGCTAAGGAGAGGGACAGAGTTCTCAGTGAGATGCTGTGAACACCATCCTCAAAGCAAACAATCTGCTTTCTGCTGAAAACAGGAGACAAAGCTCTGAGAGTAGTGGTAGTTCCTTGTGTTGTCTCTTCTTTCCCCTATCTGTTTTCCAGCCAACATGGAGCTGGTAAACAGACATTTATTTGTAGAGGAAAGGAAACATGGGAGAAAAAGAAGGGGACAGAGAGATGGTAAGGCCTAGAGTCACAATTCTGATTTTAACTAATGGATATGACTTTGGAGTAACATTTAGTTACACTGAGCAATTTTTATATGGGCAGTTTTAATCAGTTCAACTGCTTTTAAAAAGTCTACTTCTCTCTAATGAATGTCAGATGATAATGAAGCCAGTTTTCCCATATTTTCTTCTTTTGTTCAGTGGTTACTGCACACAGGGATTAGTTCAGGGTCATCAGGGCTTGTTCTTTGCAAAGTGATGGGATGGACGTAGCTGTGAGTGTTGCCAGTACCTGTAACTGCCATGCAGGTGAGAACAAAGGAAAATCCATATTTTTGTTCCCGTTTTGAGGATCCTTGCTCATGGTTTCAGTGTTTGTGGGGTGAGACGTGCTGAGCTCCTACACTTTGCCATTGTCAGATGGAGCTGTTGACACTTGCTACACACCCTGAGTCTGAACCAAGAGAGATGAGCATCATCCTGCACTGTCCTGTGCCATGCCCAACAACATTTTGGGTTTGTCCTGAAAGCTGCTCCTGCTTGCAAGCTCGTGTTTGTAACTCAGCGTTCATGGAGAGCAGAGCAGGGTTGCATTTGGGCACGTGGAACTCCGTAGTTTCATTGGCACCCCTGCCCCTGCAGCACTGTGTAGTCAGCCTAGAAGGAGCCATATTAATTACAGTGAATTGGGTGTAGCTCAGGCACTTTTGTGGCTGTCAGAAGTGTCCCCACGGGGATGGAGAGGTTCAGGGGTGGGTGGCAGAGCCCCTCTTTCCAAACAGCCACTCCTAGGTCTATGCTACTCCAGTGTTGTTGACTGATGGCTGCATTTGTTCCCTGTGTGTGTGAAATGACTGTTTTCTCACTGCCTGCCGAGGGATAAAAAAGGCAATGTAACCTAAACAAAATCTATTACGAAAGTTGTTAATCTAAATTTTACCCCATGTTTTGTCACTGTTTATTTTAAATTTTTGTATGGACAATCTGTTTTCTTCCCTCCTTCTGATTTTGTGTCCTTTCTCCTGGAAGTGTCAAATGCCAAGCAGGACAAAGACATAGAAAGTTGTAATGGAGGAGGAAGAAGATCATGCATTTCTTACTGTTTGTCCCTTCTGTCTTTTGCAGTTGTTGCAATCTCAGGATGTGAAGGAGGATGCTGTGCTTTGCTGCTCCATGGAGGTAGGGAAGCACCTCTACACCTGCCCTGATCTCATTGCTTTATCCCTTCCATCCTTGCCCATGCATGTGTCAAGCAGCTGTTGGATGTTTCCAGACCCAACAACTGTGTGGCCTCTGTGCATTTTGGAATCATCAAATGGATTGGATTGAAAGGGACCTTTGGAGGTCATTTAGTCCAACCCATCTGCAATGATCATGAACACTTTCCATTAGGTTGCTCCCAGCCCCATCCAGCCTGGCCTGGGACACTGCCAGGGATCCAGGGGCAGCCACAGCTGCTCTGGGCACCCTGGGCCAGGGCCTGCCCACCCTCCCAGCCAGCAATTCCTCATTCCCAATGGGCCAAAATCTGTCCCTGCCCTCTGGCCCTGGGAGCCATTGCCTGGCTGCTGTCCCTGCCTGCCTTGTCCCCAGGGGCTGTGCAGCTCTCCTGGAGCCCCAGCAGGCCCTGGCAGGGGCTCTCAGGTGTCCCTGGAGCTTCTCTGGTGCAGCTGAGCAGCCCCAGCTGTGCCAGGCTGGCTCCAGAGCAGAGGGGCTCCAGCCCTGGCAGCGTCCCCATGGCCTCCTTTGGCCTCACTCCAGCAGGTCAATGCCCTTCCTGTTTGGAGGAATCCAGAGATGGATTCAGGATCCCAGGTTGGGTCTCACAAGAACAGTTCAGGTAGAAGCCCAGTGTGAGATGAAAGCCCTTGAGACTCTGTCACTGGGCTCCTGATGCATGTAAATGGATGCAGAAGTTTGGTACCTGGGGTCCTGTCACAATATTATATCATCCTGGTTCCTTCAGATCTCACCCTCCATTCAGTTTTTAACACAGAAACAGCTGTATTGGAGCAAAAGCTGCCCCGTGACTTACTGTGCTCAGCAGCAGTTTTTCAGAGAAGGAAATGACTGGACATGGCACTCGGTGCTCTGGTCTGGCTGACACAGTGATGATCAGCCACAAGTTGGACTCAACGACCTTGGGGGCCTCTTCCAACCTAACTGATTCTATGATTCCATGAATTCTAGCAGTGTTCCTATTAGTTACTTTTTCTTGGGAAGTGATGGCCCCATGGGGACAGATTCCTTTCTTGCACAGAGCAGTTGAAGTTGCAGCTTGAATAGTTAAAATTCAGCAAAATGAGTGAGGAGGCGGATTTGATTTTCAAGGTGAGGTCTTTGGGGAGCTCTGCTTTAGGGAGCCTCCCACAGACTCATCACTGTCCACCCCAAACTTGGACCTTTTCTGTGGAACCACCTAGGGCTTGTGCTACTCAATGGAGGCTCTCCAAGGAGTAATTGTTTTAGAAAAAGCCCTTGGCTGTCTCCAGCAAAGCAGCACGACAGGTATAAATGCAGATCTCGGCAGGGCAGGATTTGTTATGCACACAGGCGCGTTCTGCTTATTCCAGCTAATGACTGGGAGTCACTGGGAGCTCTGAATCAGCGAGTAAATGAAGGGCCAGGTAGAAGGCAGGAATACCACATCACAGCCTGCACTTTGTTTTGACAATAGCATGATTTTTAGGTGGGATTTTTTTTCTTTTTTTCAAAAGCAATCCGTCGCTCCTGCCTTTGAAGTCAGTGGGAGCTGAACCATTCACTCCTCCAGCAGCCTGGTGCGGATGCTTTTGAAAACCTCACCCTTCGTGTTCAGCTCTTGGAGCCGGCTGCTGGGTGGTTTTGGTTTTCTAAAACCATGACGCCTTTAACCTTGCCTGCACCAGGCAGGGCAGAGTCGAAGGGACAGGAGAGGTGTCTGTAAAAAGCTATAGGGGTGTTTTAGCATCGTAGAGTGGTAGAATCCTAGCCTGTCTCAAGCTAGAAGGGACCCACAAGGATCAGTAATCCATGGCTGACCCCTTCTTCTCCCAACAGCTGCAGAGCACCGGCCGGCTGCTGGAGGAGCAGCTGCCCGAGATGATGACGGAGCTGCTGGCGATAGCGCGCGACAAGATGCTGTGTCCCTCCGAGTCCATGCTGACCAGGTCCCTGCTGCTGGAGGTCATCGAGCTGCACGCCAACAACTGGAACCCCCTGACGCCCACCATCACGCAGTACTACAACAAGACCATCCAAAAACTGACGGCTTGAGGGGCAGGGCAAGGTGGGGTGGTAAGGGACGAGAAGAAGAAGAAGAAGAAGAAGAAGAAGAAGAAGACATGCGCCTTGACAGGACCCGGCAAGAGCTTTTCTGATTTAAATCCCCCAGCAGACCAAACCCCAGCATGCTCGAGAATACGTTCGTGGGGTGGGGAGGGAGCAGCATGTTTCTTTTTCAGCCGCCTCGCCAAGTGCCACCCCTCCTCCCTGCCGTGGTTTTGTTTTAGGGGTTTCTTTTTCTGAACTCATTGCTCAAGCAGCAGCAGTGCATCCCGCCGGGTTATTGTTTGGCTTTCGAAAGAAGACAGAGAATTTGGAAAAGGAGGGGAAAAAAAAAATAATCTAAGTGGGGGCTAGTATTGTTTTCACGCCGTCCTCCTGCCTTGCCCTGGCCAACTGGCAGGAGACAGCACGCAGCAGATGTCTCGAGAGGACAAAGCCAGGCACACACTACACCAGACGCTCATAATTGATGGCTTTTGTCAAGCGAGGCTTGCGTTAGGTCCCCCCCTCCTTCTCTTGTTTTCGACTTTCTGTGTGTTCCCCCCACCTACCCGCCACCCCTTCAGAGGCAGATTGGAGAGCGGGACGACTTTCTTACTTGCACTGGGTTTCCTTTTCCTCGAGCGTTGGTAATTTCCTCTTATCTTATTGTATCGTTGGACGGACAGTTGTGAGCAGCTCGGGGACGGGGAGAGCAGCGCCTTCCCTCGAGCTGGGAAACGGTTTATGTGAAGATGCTGAAGCAGAAGGAGTGTTTTAAAGGAGTCCTAAAGCCACTGCAGAAGTTACATAGCCACCGTCATCTTGCCAGTAACCTCCTCGGTGGATTGAGAAACGTGTCCTTTGAGCTGGGGGCTCTAAAAACAGGGGATTCTGTGGCTCTTGCTGTTCAAGTCGCCGTTATTCCTCAGCCACTATAATCATTTAACTTTTTTGTAATAATTTTTTTTTTCCATTGAAGGAGTGCTTTATTGTTATTACTGTCATGGTTGTAATTATACATTTAAATCCAGGCCTGTTATAGTTGGGCCTAATAATGTACAGGGCAAGGGAGAAATGAAGGTTTGATGTTTTTTGGAGGCTGGTAAAGAAAAGACAAGCAGCGTATAGCGAAAAAACAAAAAAAGGAAAAAATAAGAGGGAAAAATAGAAAAAGCCAAAAATAGAAGTTTGAGCCTGGCTTCTAACTAGCTGAATATGGTATCCAGCGTTCCTAGGTGTGTGCAGTGTGCTGGAGCAGCTCTGTCCCATGCTCGGTGTGAGTGGCACAGTGCCATCGAGCGATGGGGGACATATCCAGAGAGGCAGGGTGTGCTCGGGGATCCCCAGGGGGCTCCAGGATCCCCTCATGGCTCCTTGCTGGAGCATCCCAAGGGAGGGGACAGCTGTGGGGGATGGTGGGGAGGTGACACCCAGAGGGTGAGAGGCTGGTCTGCGGCAATGCCTGAATCATGAAGAAGACACGGTGGGCTCCTATTTGCTGATCTAGCAACACTTTGACTTAGGAAATCCCTCCAGGTGGTTTTTCTAATGAAACCTAGCAAGGATGCAGGCTGTCCCATCCTGCCTGCAGGAGCCAGGGAAGGCATGATGCCATCAGCTCATCCTGGCTTCTTCTCACTGTTCAATTTATTCCTTTTATGATAAGAGAATTTATGCCACAACAATGGCACACATGGACCCTGGACCGGGCAGGCTGGGCCTCAGCTCAGCAGCTCAAACCCGTTTTTCCAAGCAAAACGTTGCATTTCTGGTGGCTTGTAAAGAAGAGAGATTTCACCCCGACCTCCTTGGATGTGCAGTATGTTTTTGGGTGCCTTATGAATGTGTTGGTCTGTCTGCGATGGGGAGGAAGCTTTTGCTGCAAAATTTAAAGGGCAGAAATTTTCAGCAGAAAATGCATTGCAGGGGGGTGAGCGTTGTGATGCTGCAGTTCAACAGTACCTGAATTTTCATCTGGTTGTCTGCTGATCCAGTTTTCATGCTGCACCTGGAGCAAGAGGAGCTGGAAAGAGGAGCTTCAGTTTTCCTGCCTGCCTAGAAAGCAGTGAAATGATTGCTGAGTTCACTAGAACTGCCTGGAAGAACTAACTTTTGCTTCACTTATTCGAGCCCAGGAGCTTCGCACAGTGAGGGCGCCTTGCGTTGGGTCAGCTTCATTAGTAGCAACATGGTTTGATAGTGTTAATGAGCAGATGAACTTCATTAGGACGGCAAAGCCCATCAGTATTACAAGGCTCAGGGCTGTGCCCATCGCTCTTTGTTTTTTCTGCTCCCTGAACTCTCAAGGAGTGGAGGAGAAGGGGATATAACACCCATCACAGTGCACTCAGGCAGAGTGTCAGTCTTCTGGGAGAAGGCCTGAAAAATAGTTTTGTCTTGTTGTGTGGTCTTTTTTTTTTTCTTTTTTTTTTTTTAAGAACAGCAAAGTCCTATAGCAGGGACAGAAACCTGGTGGTTTGGGGTGCCAGGGATCCTGCCAACAGTGATCCAGACTGCCACTCTGGGCCCTGCCGCTTCTCACTTCCCACAGAATTTTTTCTTGGGATGTAGTGAAAGAAGAAAAAAGAAAATAAAAACACAGATAATTGGGGATTTTTTTTCTAAAAACTTGAATTTTTCACCCATCAGTGCATCAGGAGGCATTCAGAGTCAAAGTGTAAGCCACAGGGCAGTATTTCTCCTAAAGCATTTCCCTACCCCTGCCTGCTGTGAGAGCTTATTCAATTTTCTCATTGTGGGGCAATCCCAAATCCCCCACTAACCAGGCTTGGCCCATGACTTTCCCTTCCTACACTGGAAATGAAGAACTTTCATGTGAAATCCGTCGTTTTGTAATGTCTTGCCATATATCTCTGCTATTAGCATACGTTCATCCAGCCATTAACTGCTTTGATACATCAGTCACTCTGTTGATGTACAAGATTCAAAATATTGACCAAAAATGGGGGTTTCTCCCCAAAAATTACATGCTGCCAGTGGTATCTTTCTGAAGTCCATCATCAGGAAGCCGGCAGACACATGACATCATTCACCAGGGTACCGTGTTGGGAAAAGAGGTACCATGAGGACATTTGATGGGCAGGATGGGGAACAGCGCTGGGGAAATTTTTGGGGTGAAAGCACCTGGGGATCCTGGAGTGTTTTCTTCTCTCTCTTTCATTTTTTTCTTTTTTTTTTTTTTTTTTTAATCTTTTGGCTTACTTTGCAAACGATCGCCAAAGAGCGTAATTCTCCAAAATGTATTTTTGGGTGCAAAGCCACCAGTTACATCTCCCTAAATCAGCCAGATTCCATCTTTGCTGCTCAATAAAAGTATTTGTGTGGGGTTTTACTGCATTGTCCCCATACAACTACTGTCAGCAAAGGGGGAAAGCAAAGCCCTTGGGCCAAATGTGTGTGGGGCCAAACCTCAGGGTGGTGTGGAGGCTGGAGCAGCATCACCTCTGTGCCCATCTCCCTGGGATGCAGAACAGGTTTGCTGACACCCTGCCAGGCTCCCCAGGTTATCATTCACCTCAAAACTCCTGGTAAAAAAAATCTTTCCAAACCGATGAGTTTTGCTACGCAGAAAGTGACTTGCTTGGTTTCCCCATGAGGGATTCCACTGCTGTTCAGAGAAGTCTCGTGTATACGGAGGTGAAACAAAAATGGGGAGGAAAAAAAAAAGGAAAAAAGGAAAAGTAAGTGATTTGCTTGGTTCCCCTCTTCCCCTGAAAGAGATTAATTAGTATCTATTCTTGGCATGATTGATGGCTTTGAAAGAAAACTTGTCAGAATAACTTATGATTTATTTTCGTGCTTATTTTTATAACACCCCTCACTTGGAAATCTCTCAAAATCTTAAATATGATTTTTTTTTTTTAATTTCCCTGCTGGGTATTTTATGGCTTTACACTAATTTTGCTCTTCTTGGTGATAGCTATTAAGCAGTCCTGGTGATATTTTCAGTATTTTTTCAGAAGAAATTATACTAAGGGTTGCTAAGTCCACTGTCAATAGCCAAGGGAGCTGCGGTGTCCTACAGAACACAGAGTTAATGCTAGCAATTTTTTTTTTATGTATTTATTTGCATTTGAAAAAGCAACATTTTTAATTTAATCATATTTGTTAAACTAAGCGCTTTAAAAAATTTTTAAAAATAAAAAAATAGGAAAAAGGTTTTGGGGAGAGTAAAGACTAGATATTCATACTTAGAGAAATCACAAACTCATCATTTTCAGCATTTCAGAGACTGTTAAAACAAGGGAGCTCATAACTCTTTGTGGCAATTCAGTCTTTGTTTATAGAACATCCAGATCCACTGTATGCTATAAAATGCCTCATCTGAGTAATAAATGTTTAAAGCTTGACATTTCCCCCTCTCTTTGTGGGTGCGGGGTGTCGCTCCTCCTGCGCTGGGAGGGCCCATCCTTTGGTTCAGGATGTGGGTGGTGGGAGCAGAATGTCCCTGGTGGTGGGAGCGCGGCCCAGGGGGGCTCTGTGGGGCTGGCTCAGTGCTCCTGGCACTGCTCACGGCCTGCTGCTCCTCCTGTGGGGCTGGGTGCCTCTCTTGTCACTCCTGTGGGAGTGGTGCAGAGGGCTCGGAGCTCCATGGGCGATGGCTTGAGCCTGGCTCCTGATCTGCCTCCACAGCTGCCCATTCGCTGCTCCCCATCCTCTGCCCAAGGTGAATTTCCCTCCCCTTTGTGTCCTACCTCAGCTGGGCCTGCTGGAGAACCCCCAGTTTAATCACATACATTCCACCCAGTGCTGCAGCAGCAAGGGCTCACCAACCACTGCTGACTGTTAAAAATAATCCCTGAAAATGATGCTTAAGATGTTTGTCACAAAATCACAGAATATTCTGACTGGGAAGGGACCCGCAGGGACCATCAAGTCCAGCTCTCCAGTGAGTGGCCCAGACAGGGAGGAAGCCACAACATTGCCATTACCAGCACTGGGCTCTGACCAACTGAGCCAATCTCAGAAAAAAAACTGGTTTCTTCTAAGATTCTCAAGCCCAAGACAATTAATTTTTGGCTAACTGAAATGCCTGAGCCTCTTCTCCTGGTCCAAGGGAGATAAAAAGAGAGGGGAAAACCAGATGGAGGTGAAACAAGGAGTGGAAACACCACCAGCATCCCACAGGGACACTCATGTTGCTCCCCACACCTCTAGTCCCCACATTCCCCCTCCATTTCCTTGATGACAGAGGGAAGGTCAGGGGCTCACAGGACACTGCTGAGCACCAGAGATGCCCAAACTGCCCCAGGGGTCAGTCAGCTCCTCCCAGAGCCAATGTTGGCTCCAGAGAGCAGGGCTCTGTGGGAAGCTCCCTACCTTGCCCATCGTCAGTGGAGGTGTCTCGATTCCACAGTGGTGTCCATCCCCTGCACACCTCACTTTGTCCTGCTGTTTTAAGCAGTGATGGACTTGAAACTGACCCTCAGAAAGCTGGATTCTTCAAGAACATTTAGAATTTAGATCAGATACTGGAAGTGCCTCTTGGCTGTGAGGGTGGTGAGGCCCGGAGCAGCTGTGGCTGCCCCTGGATCCCTGGGAGTACCCAAGGCCAGGCTGGATGGGGCTTGGAGCAGCCTGGGACAGTGGAAGGTGTCCCTGCCCATGGCAGGAGTGTTTAGGGTCCCTTCCAGCCCAAACCCTTCTGTGATTCTATGAAATAGTATATCTGACCTTGTGCCACCCTTTCCATGCCTTAACATCCCCATCATGAGCCCCCACCTGCAGCCAGACCTTCAGCCCCAGCTACAGCCAGACCCTGCTGGAGTTTGGCCTGTTCATGATCAGGGGTTTGAGCATCTGGACCAGCTCTGGGAAGAGTTTATCAGCACTGGGAGCAGACAAGCCAAGAGCAGAGAGGATCCCTGGGGCCCCTGGGACCACCAAGATGCATTAAATGAGAAAATAACCTGCAGTAACACAAGATTGGGAGCAGATGGATGGGCATCACTACAGAGCCAGAGCTTTCAAGATGCAGGAGTATTTCTGTGAATTCCTCATGTCTGCCAAAAACCCAGACAGCAGCAAATAAAGACTCTGTGGATCAGAGTAAGATTGCTTGGCTTCCCTAAAACATGGCAAACCTGGAAATAGTCAGGATGCAGGATGTTCTCCTCTTGCAGCAGCTCCGTATCTCTGCTGAGTTTTAAGGGCTGTTTTTAAATGGTCCTGCTGGTGGCAAAATGGGCAGCAAAATAAGCAACCTAAATGCAACTGCATTGGTGCTCTGTTTGCCAGCTGAACTGCAGCTTAAGTGATTATTGCTTGGGATGCAAGGAAAACAGTGATATTAAAACAATAATGCTCGTTACAAGGCTGTGGCCTGTTCCTTTTGTATCCTGCACTGTGATCCCCAGTTACAAAGCTGGAGACTTGTGTGGCTGCATAGATGTGACTGCTGAGCATAGCTTGGTGTCTGTCCTGCTCCCCAGGATTTGTCTGGACTCCTAGAGAAAGGTTTCTGCAGGAAATGTTTCATCCTTGGGCTGCAAATTACTGATGTGAGCATTTCCAGGGATGCAGACCCTGCCTGCACCTCTTGGAGGGTCACTGTGGTTTTCCTTGCTGGTACAGGTGACTGTGGGGTCTCGAGGATGGATGCTCCCAGAAATGGATGTTTGCCTTTTTCTGCCCAGAGCCAATGTGAAAAAAATGCAAAGTCCCTCTCCAGAGAAATGCCAGGATTTCAGCATTGCATTCTGTCCTAAATCATCCCGGTTTTTCACCAAAGTGCTCTGTTTCAATGTATGTTGTGTTGCTGTAGCAATAGCATTTAAACAAATTGGATTTTATTAGCTCAGATCTTTTCAATAACTTCCCACAGAGCTTTCCCATCAGAAGTTTCCACGGTCTGAAGGGAGAAATCACCTTTGCCACGGTCCTGGGCCTGCCTCATCCTCTGCTGCTCTCTTCCCAGCCCTGCCAGGGTGAATGCATCAGCATTTCTGTCCCCCCCATCACTCTTGGTGTCCAAATGCCTGACACGGGTGGTCTTGCAGCCAAAACATCAAATTGGACATCAGGAATTATTTCTCCATGGAAAGGGGGGTCAGGCATGGGAAGGGGGTGCCCAGGGAGGAGGTGGAGTCCCCGTCCATGGAAGTGTCCCAGGAATGAGTGGACATGCCACACTCTTGGCTGGGGGACAAGGTGGGGATTGGTCATAAGTTGGACTCACTGATCTTGGAAGGCTTTCCCAACCTCAGTGGTCCTGGGAAGATGGGATGGACTGCACAGACCCTGCTGGTGACCCTGTAGCAGTCCCTGGTGTGGAGCTGTGAGCAGAAACCAGGTCTTGGAGCAGATCCCTGCAGCTGGTGAAATGTGGGAACAGCTCTCTGAGGAGCTGGGCATCTGTGTGAGGGTCTGCATGGGCACCAGGGGCCATGGAATCACAGAATGACAGAATCACTGAGTGGTTTGTGTTGGAAGGGACCTTAAAGATCACCTCATTCCATCCTCCTGCCTGATCAGGCCAAGACAGTGGCCTGTGAGATTCCATGGCATCCAGGTCCTGTGCAAAGTCCAGGTGGGTGGCTATGAAGACCATTTACCATTTCCACACCTCTACAGGCAGCACCAAGCCTGGCTTTTGTTTGGAGAGTGCTTCAGAGTACAGATGGAGCAGCCAGGTTTCCCAATCCCAGGGACAGATCCAAGCTGCTCTTGCCTCATGCAGGCCCCAGGGAGGAGTTCCTTCTGGCTGGTCCTGTGGGTGGAGGTGGGCAGCAAGCAGTGCTCTTTTACCTTCAAAGCTAACAGCAGTGAGCTCTGCAGGAGCCTGAGCTTGCTTGGCACAGAACCCTGTGCCCTGGCATCGTTCATGCAGAGCCAGGGTGCCCTGCACAGGTGGGTCATGGAGCACCAGGGCAGTGCCAGCTGAGCTGGGCTTCCCCAGCTCCCATCCATCCAACACTGCCAAGGTATCTGGCACTGGAACTTCGTTGGTTTTTTTTTTTTTTTTTTTCTTTTCTAGGATAAAACTCCGAAGTAAATCCTGATCAGCATTTACTACTCCCTGCCTTGATCCTGGAACCATGGAATCTCACAATGGTTTGGGTTGGAAGGAACCTTGGAGATCATCTCAGTCCACCCCCTGCCATGGGCAGGGACACCTTCCACTATCCCAAACCCCATCCACCCTGGCCTTGTACATTTCCAGGAATTAGCAACGTTCAAGCTCAGAAAGCAATTTCAAATAGACTTTTTTTTTTTAAATATATAATTTAAAATGTTGAGGTCCAAAAGAGGTCAGTTTTCAAAGCAAGGCTGGAAGGTTGGGTAGATGAGGGTGGGAGGAGAAGCTGCACCGGGGGATGGGTTATCCAAAACCTGTCTGGTGGTAATTACACATGTCGGCTGATGAAAAACTGGTTTGAGGGCAAACACCGTAAAAATATTGCTGTGGGGAGAGAAAGACGACAGGGATTGTGAAATCCAGCCGGCAGATTGTTTTACAGCAAAGGTAACTTCTCTCCCCAGGGCTGGATTTTACGACCTGTGCGAGGAACCAACCCCCAGTTAGCAGGGCTGCTCTGCTCTTCTTTTCAAGCACAAAAAATGCAGGGTATTTGTTAGAAACCGTGGGTTTGGGCTGATTTCCTAGAGATAAATGCAGTCTTGTTTTTGGGGGAGCCATGAAGTGTTTGGGGCAGGGATTGTTTTGCATGTGGTGACTGCAATTTGCTTTTACAATCATCCCGCTGTATATATTCTCTATATAAAATTGTATTTACACTGGGTTTTTTTGAGCACTTGAAGGGTGCTGCAGGGGCTCACTGATCTCCCAAGGGGACTAAACCCAAATAACCCAGTGCTGCTGCCTAAGTTCTGCTTTTCAGCTGAATTTACACATTTCTTTCTCCATTTGCTCTCTGTCCTGTAATTTATATTTCCCTTTGCTCCCTCTGTGTTTGCAGGCAGGTTTCCAGCTCTGTGCTGTCACTTTTGGCCACCTCAGCTCCCTTCCCACAGCTGAGGATGCCTCCTGCTTGGGGAAGATGAGCTGTCCTTCTGCCAGTCCCGTTTTTGGGAGCTGGTGACCATCCTGGTCCCTGCAGTTCACATTTGGGTCCCCTGCACCTTGTGCAAGGGTTTTCTCCCTTTGTTAGCACTTTCTGCACTGTAGAATCACAGAATGTTTTGGGTTGGAAGGGACCTTCAAGATCATCCTGTTCCACGCCCTGCTATGGGCAGGTATGGTTTCCACCATCCCAGGGTGCTCCAAGCCCTGTCCAGCCTGGCCTGGAACACTTCCAGAGGTGGGGAATCCACAAACCTCCATTTTCCCTGGGGTGCACTGGATTTTCATCCCAAAATCCCCCTGGGAATCACCGCCACCCATGGCAGG